TTATTTTTTGACCGGAGAGGAACTTCACTTGGGAAGCTATGGGACTTTCAGCAAAGGTTTGATTTTCTCAGGCGATTGATTCAAATTAACTAAGCAGAAAAATTATGGTGAAGAAAGCGATTTAATGCTTACAAGAGGTTTTTATAAAGTGTTAGTAATAATTTAGTAGGCATAAAAATTAAGTGAAGAAAAACGTCTACTGTAAGCGTTGGTTTACTATCACAGCAGGTTTATATTGTCCATAATATGCCAATCCAACAAAAAACTACCGACTGTTAAAGCGCTTAATGTTTTACTTCGGCTAGAATATTGACGTTGGATGCCTAACACCGTTTTCGAAATATGAAATGTATCATATTTTGCTAAAGATCTGAAAGCAAATTGGGTGTTTAAGTACCTAATAAATTTGTAAAAGATTAACCGTGAAAATTGAGGGTAGAAGAGAAATCTCAAGTTCAGATAGGTAAGCGAAAAATTTAATGATTAATGAACATCTCAACACTGCGCTTTTGAGCACCTAATTCTGGTTAAGGCAGAAGACTGCAAATAAAAAGAAATTTAACTATTCAAAAAAATCTAAATACCATTTTAAAACACTAACAACTTGGTCAATAATAGCCAAAAACACTATTCTGAATGTGATGTAGCAAAAAATGTTTTTTTTTCGTTTGATTAAAGTTATAACTCTTAAGGATTATTGCTTTTATAATAACTTTACTTTTGTTGGTCTAAAATATCGCTCCTAACGAATAATAACGCAGCATTTTAGGTGGGCTTTTACTCTATTATGTTTGCAATAGTCTGTCTTGTGGAGTCTCTTGAAGGATTTTACATGGCAAGGTTAGTATTCACCTGCTGACACTCTATTGCGTTGACTGATAATTTTAAACATTGAAGAAACATTTTTTAAAATACTCAATTTGACTGACAACCAATTTAACTAAATTTTATTGGCAATTTTTAGTGCAATCGTATCAATAGAAAAGGAATTTCAAATTTCTAGTACGATTTCGGGTTTTATGGTATTGGTTAGCGAGCTTGGTTACTTTCCAACAATGTTGCTTGCCAACTGCTTTTTTGATCAGGCATGGTAGCAAAGATAATTTATTAGTTTTGAGTAGACAAGTAAGGTTGCAATTTGAGAAAAAAAGAATAAAACTTTATCGTCAGGTTAAATTATAGAACAAGCATCAAATAAAGGCATTTTCACTGAAGTTTCACGTTTCACTAAATGCAAAAAAATTTAGGTAAACTTTTCTAAAACTAACTATTTTTGTAGAAGTACTTTGAACAGTTATTCTATGGTAAGAATTTTTTAGTCTTATCTAAATGTCAACACAACAGCAATTTGCAGAAATACCGTGAACTATGGGTCAGACTTGGATTTTTGCTTATTGCCTTTGCCAACCTACTTATAGGTTATTCGCATTTTTTGTTTTCAGACGAGACTTTACAGCTGAACTCTGCCACTGTTGGTAAGTTATTAATTTTAGATTGACAATAGCATTTTAGTGCAACAATGAAAGTTTTAAAATTTCTGAAACTTCTTGTAGAGCCTAGTTTGGAAGAAGATTCTGGCTCACTACTTGCTTTTTGCAGTCTGTTAATTAGCAGTATGAGATACCAGGTAAGTGACAACTTTCATTTGAAAGTAAAAAATGAGGTTATCTGCATGACAGTTGCTAAGAAAGGTCACGTGATTGAATTGTCTATGTACAGCAAAAAGATGTATTTCGGTTTTTTTTTTGCCGATATTAGATTTTCTCTACGTCATATAAGTAGTTCTCTTCTTTTTAAAAAAGATAACGTTTAAGATCACCTATGCAAAACGAGATTGAGAACACATTTTTGAATTTAGAACTGAGTTTTTAGCTACTTAAATGCTCAAATTCGAACTGTTGATTTTAAGTCTTAGGATGTAGCAATAAGAATAAACTGTTATCAGAAAACAAAAAAGAAAGAAAGAAAGAAAAAAAAAAACAAAAGAAATTTGGAATTAATTGTTATTTGTTTCTAGTTGCTCTGCTTAACTACAACTACACATCTGACTCAATTTAGGCTGAAAATTCTCGCTACTTTAGAACCGTATCAAGCAAGTGGCCAATTCTGGTCATTTTCTTTGGATTATTTCTTCTCGGAATCGGACGTACTATGCCATATTCTTTTGGATTACCTATAACAGAACATGATGTCAAAGAAAAACATAAGTCGTTATACTTTGGTATAGATTTTAATTTCACTAATTTGAGAACGTTGTTTTGACTTCTTTTTCATCATGCTTTCTGTTTCAGGATCTTTGTTTTTCTTTCGAATCCTTGGGCCAGTGTTCGGATTTTCCCTTAGCTTTATCACTAACAAGCTATATTATATAAGTAGTGGTAATCTGAAAAACTTATTGCTGTACTTCACAAAATTTATTCAGTTAACAAAACTCAAAATATAAATTGTTTTTCTTGGTCACTTATTTATAATGAGGCTGCTTTTGCTGCTTGAAAGATTTGTACAGATGCTTAAATTTTTGTTACAACAACATTCAACAACTCTTTATAACATTTTTAAAACTGCTTATTTACAGAGCCTTCCGGAATCACTCCGGAAGACCCAATGTGGATTGGGCGGTGGTGGATTGGGTTCTTTACTATTGGAGGAGTACTTCTTTGTCTATCATCTCTTATGAGCATTCCTTCCTCATTAGCAACGGTGAAAAAAATATGGAATGCCAGGAAAAAAGTCAAAAAAGATAAATCTGAAGAAATTCTGCTTGCAGAACAAACAAATGTTTCTTTTTTGACTTCTTTAACAAATATAGCGTTTCTACTGCCTAAATAATAATTCTTTTTCTTCTCTTTACAAGATGTTTAGCAATATAAGAATTTAAGCAGAATGCACTTTTACAATAAATTTCGTTTTAAATTGATTTTATTAATGAAATAAAGTCAGACTTTTAATTTAGAGCAATAATGTCGTTGCAAATGGCGACTTACAGGATTATGTGAACCAGATGTAAGCACTATTTTTATACTCTCATTTTGACTGTCACAGTTGCTATTCTAACAGGCGTTAAAAATCGGAGTCAGGAAGATTAAGCAAACAGCTTTTAGAAGACTTTTAACAGAAACAGGAAAAGTATTTGAGAGCGAAAGATGCGGAAAGAGAGAGTGTGAAGAGGCGTTTAGATAAGTCGTCAAAGCATCATACATATTTCACAAGAGTTATGTAGTATTTTTGAAAAAATAAAAAAGTACTTTTGCTTTACAGTTTTCCCAGTTCTGTTATGGCTAAGCCCAAGGAAAAGAAAGTTTTTACTCAAAAAATGTATAAACAGAAAGAAACTAAGGAACAACCTTCTTAAGACGGTAGCCTTAAAAGGCTGCAAAGTACCACATAAACATTACAGAAAAAGGTTAAAATTGAACGTTTAAGAAGAAACATGATTAAGTAATTTAATTTTGGCTTACATACACGCATGCACAACTCTTTTCAGGAGTGATGGTGAAAATGATTTGAATCAATTCACTGTAGGCGAAAGACCGGGTGATAGAAGAGCACAAAATTCAACAATATCAAACATATGCGGTGAGGAAAATAATTAGTAAACGACATCAGAAAATTAAAATTACTTTTATTGTTGAAGTATTTAAAAAATAAATTTTTTAAACACATATTTGTGCAGTTATAACTTGAAGATTATCTTTTAATATTAACATTAACAGAACAGCATTTCAGAAAAGTTGAAAAAAGTGGTTAAACAGCCTATTTACATGGGTGCTTTAATTAGTCGAATTATAGAAGTCTTTGCATTTAAAGGATTTTTTTTGTATCTTCCAAAATACCTGCAAAATCAGTTCAGTGTTCCCCAGCATATAATAACCTTGTGCTTAGGTTAGTCGATCACCGTGTTTCAATCGTGTTTTTCAATACACAACAATGTAAAAAAATAACTAAAATTGACAATTTAGTACTGATTTTTAACACTGAAAACTTAGCAGTGGTTCAGAAAGTGATTGTATACTCTACCTTTTTTCAATGCCTTTCTACTAAAATAAAATTCAGGAATAATAGGCTTCATAGGTGTCGCTGTAGGCTCTTTAGTCGCCATTATGGCTATACGGCAATTCAAACTTGAAGGTAATATTTGAACATAATTTTTTTTTCTTTCGTATGCTATATCAGCAGTTTTACTCAGTTAGGTTCGCAGCATTATTCATAAGCTACTTTTCAGGTAGCGATATTGCTGCTTGGGTAGTTGCGTGTTCTGCAGTTTCTGTTATCTTCTCGTTTATGAATGCAATAGTGGGATGCAACAACGTTTATAATTCATTAATTAATGCTTCTCAGTAATAATTCTTTATTAAAATATAAGCTAGGTGCTTTTTAGCATTGATAGTATTGCAATTGTTTAATATTTCAGGAAAACAATAACTGTACTTAACGATACCTGTAATACTTATTGTGACTGTACTGAAGCGCTGTTGCATCCGGTTTGTGATCAGCAAGGCAAAACATTTTATTCACCTTGTCATGGCGGTTGTTCGTACTTAGCCGAAACCGTAACCTACAACACTTGGACTGTAATACATTGTCACTTGATACCTTTTGAGAAATTTTTTCAAACATAAAGACATCATTAAGCCAATGTAAAATTAAGAAGACTAATAGTAATGATCATAAGATTTTACTCTTCTTGGCAGCTTACTTTCAAAACCTATTCTGTTTCACTTAGATTCTCGCAATACAGTTTATTTTTAAACACTGCGCATAGTACTACTTTTTGAGAGATTTTTCTTTTAGTATTCGTAAAATTTTATGAAAGTCATTCACAGATTGTCTTTTCAAACTTTCATTTACTGTCAAAGCTGTTCTAAAAACACAGTTTTTAATCGCAGTTCTTTAGCTTACTTCCTTCAATCCTTATTCTTTCTGATACTTCATCTTTCTCTCATAGCTTCTTTTTCTATGCTTTCTTCATGGTACTCACTTTGATTATAAGGATAAATGTGACCTGACAACGAATTACTTTTGCGACTTCAAGAAAAGCTTCTGCAAGGCTGCATTTTTATAAACCGTTACAGACAGGGATGTACTAAGTTTTTGATAATTCAAGCTAGAGAACTTTGAAGTTTAGTGTCGCTCAGTTCAGGTTAAGTACTATTCTTTCCCAAAGAAAATCGTCAAATTCTTCGTCTTTTTATTTCTTTTTAAGCTTCTGCAGCTCCTTATCCCACAGAAAAAGGAAAAACATTAGAAAAAAATACATTACTGTATTCATAGTAAATAACTGTTCAAATAGTTTCAAAATAAGAAAAGAAATTAAAAGAAAAAGAAGAAAAAAAGTAAGCTTTCTGTTGTGAGATATTACAGATTGACCTTTTTAAAATTCTTTCCAATTTAGCCAAGGTTAGAAAGAAGATTTTTAAATTTATCTTTATCTACAAATCAGTCACTCGATCTTTATAAAATATGTAACGACAAATAATTGTTAGTAACGGCGAGAAATTCATTATCTCATTAAAAAAAAAGAATTTGTTCAGTATTTCATAGGAATTATGTCAAAATATTTTCTGGTACCTTATACACAAAAAGTACATTTAGTTTCGAGGGAAGAAAAAGTTGACTGCCAGAATGAGTATTATAAATGAAGAATTCTGTAAAGTTGCTGCACTTCCGCCTTAATTCTCAATTATTTGTTGACAAATTCATTTGCTTTGTCTAAACATTTGACTCTATTTCTATGCACCGCTAATACGATTTTTTAAAATTTCTTCTAGGTATTCGAAAACTGTCAATGTGGAGATGTAAAAAATTTGAAACTTTCAAGAAGTTTTTGCAATGAAGCTGAATGCGACAAAAAGTTCTGGCACTACTTGGCAAATATGGGGCTTTCTAGTTTTTTCAGTGGATTAAACATTATTCCATCTATTCTTATTATGCTAAAGTATGCATTTTTTAATTGTAGACAGGCTTCTACAAGAGAATTAATTTTATTTTTATAGTTCAGAGTTCTGGCAGTCTTCATTTTTAATTAGTATTTCTAGTTACTGCGTATTTTTGTTTTATAAAAGTTTGATTATCTTGAATACGGATCACCGTTTCACTATAGACCCAAAAATTGTAACTAGAAGCAGTTGCTAAAGACTTTTATTAGATTCAGTAATGGTTTTCAAACAAATTCCTTATTTTTGCAGCTAGTTTTCTTATCATTCTAAAAAAGCGACACTACTTTACAGGTCAATCAGAAGCGAAAACAGAGACTTTTCAATGCGTTTTCAAGGTTTACTTGTCACTATATTTGGTTTGTTAATTCCTTCTTACGAAAATGTTTTATTTTTAAAAATAAAATACTAAATGTTTAGAAATGATATAAAAGTGAATGTTAAGTTGAATTCCAAATGTGATTCATTTGTTATACGATTGTTACAGGAGTCAAAATTTTTTATATATATCAGAAATAAAAAAAGATGAATTTAGCAACCGTGTCTTCCCTTTTCTGGGGATGGATAGTCGATTCATTTTGTATTCTATGGGGTTCAACAAGTAAAGGTTTCTCTGCTGGTGCTTGTTCAATTTATTATAATGATCATCTCCGCATTTGGTTTCATATTATTTATGGCGGATTAAGGTTAGTAACTTTTTGCTGAAAGAGATAAGAAGTAATGGTAAACAAATTTATTGTTCTCTTACTTGTTAATTGAGAAACCGATTTCATAAAAGTTCCCAATACTACAGATCCTTGTCGCTTATGGCTGATGTGTACGTATTTTATCATTCAAAATGTCTTATCATAAACGACGACAAGTAAACGCAGGGAACGAGGCCAGCAGAAGAACCCGAAAATGTTGCCCTTCCAGAAGACCAACAATAATCAAAAAGCAAAAGAAATACCTTCAGTCAACTGCAAAAGAAAAAAACATTTCTTTGAAGACACTTTTGTGGGAGAAAAAATATTTTTGAGGAAGAGATATTATTTGAGTACGAAATCTTCTAATTAAAGATATAATTGTTGTAGTTTTGAAAACTTTCAAATTACTTCTCAAAAACTGTCAGCCGTTTCAGTTCAGTTCTGTGATCGTCACTTTAATAATTTATTGAAAAAAATATTTTTAATGAAATAATTTGCTCTGTATGTATATTTGCTCCGCTAATAAACACTGAAAATATGTGTAAAGCTGAGACTCATATTTTATCCTTTTGAGAGTAACAGAAATAGACCGCTGAGTTAACAATTATTGCGAAAGTTTTTGTTGTGGAATTCGTGTACGGAATGTAAGAACTAGTTGCCAACAATGATTCTGAGATACAATAAGAAAAGATAGCCATTTTAGTAATAAAAAGGAAAGGGTAAGAAGAAGGAAGGTAATAAAAACGGTTTGCTATTTAGTATTTCTTTTTTTTTTTTTTATTGCGACCTAATCATCGTCTTCTTCCTCATCCAATAAGACCTCACTCAGTGAGGTATAAACTAACTCTTACAACAGGATTCTTGGTTTCTATCAACGAGTACGGTTCCGTAAACGCTAGTATTTGTTTGCAAAGTTATAAAACACTTTTTTTGCATCTTAGTTGCTTATTGTAAGAAATTTTTGAAAGCAAAAGCATTTTTTTGAAAAATGAAACAGGTTTTACGTTAAATATAGAAACATTTTAATATATTTATTACAAAACCGCTTTGCTTAGCTTTGGTCTGTAGTGTTTTGAACTGTCCCTTCAGCAAGTTATTTCCTTTCACAGTGATAACTACTGCAATGACAATACAAAGTTTCTCGATGTTTCTAAAGCTTACCCACTTTGTAGGCAACCGGCAACTCGTAATGTATTATCAAAATCGCTTTTTTTTGTGGTTTGAATTCAAAATATTGCAACTGAACTGCTTTTGCCTACTGATTTTTCTATCATTTAGAGTCCCAAATTTAAAATTGTTTCATACATCATGATATGTTCAATGTCTTCATCCAAGGCATTGTTTAGAATGTCAGTACAGTTGTTGACGAAATCTTTGAATACAGTAAATAGTAGTTTTGGAAGGCAATCATTACATTCCGTTGCAAACAAAAATTAAAGTAGAACAATTCTTGGAGAAATCTTACAAAATTTTAAACTACCTAAGTGCGTAATTAACTATCCCATTCCTATGTGCCAGAATTCTTCTTAGAAAGAAGTCTAGTACTGAAAGTCGTCCTCCGCAAAATATTTCCATCCAATTTGTTAAGTAATGTTCTGTTGAATGGTGTTTATCAGTTAAAGTCAAAAAGATATCGGTTCAAAAGCCGCAGCAATAGCGATATATTTAAACTATTCAACTTCAAAAACCGACTTTTACAAAACTCGACAAATGCCATTGCTACAAAACACGTAGTCGGTAGATTTAAGACAAAAAATCAATTTTTGATATGTTAACTGCCATACTCCGTCTGGTTATGAATATCTCCTGTAACTGTGCAATAAAATCATCTTTCTATATTATATTTTCAAAAAGAAGTAATCTAGAACAAAAATGAATGGCTAAAAAAAGTTCCTTTAATTTTTTTAAGAATTTTAAAACTAGGCGAGACTGGCAGCCAAAAGGGGCACAGAGGAACAAAATTTGTTGGCCTATCGTAACACCACAAGCTCGTCGAACAATACTGTCTTAATATAATTTAGTACGGGCTAATTATGCAAGGAAGCGCAAACTCTTCTAACTACATTTGGTTGTTTCTTTGATGATTTTTTTTTTAAACTTTTCTTTATTTGACCTATTTTCTGATCGGATGCAATCATCAAAAATTTTTGCTCATCCGTATGAACTGTCACAAAGCTATAGGCTTATTGAGTACAGCAAATATCGATAATTCATTATTTACTTAGAAAATTAAATATCACAATATAGCAAAAAGTAATCTTCACATCACTAGACGTAAATGTTATTTTTTTTTAATAGTAACAGCGGGTATAAACCAACCACATAATTGCTGCGGTACATAAGGTTTATCAACCGTCGCTAATTTGGCTAACTAAATTACTGCTTCAATCAGTTTTAACAATAATACAACAACATTTATGCCTTATGCTTTGCCAAGCGAAAAACATTCTTTAAGTACTGCTCAATACAGCTATTTCTTACCACTATGTGAAAAAAAATTACGAACATTTTAACCCCAAAATTTCGACCAACAGTAAGTTCAAAACCTTGCTCCTGTGAGTGACATTTTCTCAAAAAAAATTAATTACTCAATTAAACAGTTACTTTGATTTGAGATCTTCTTAAATTAGTAAGATCCTTTTTATATTGTAACAATTCTTTTCTGTACATAATAAACTCCTGGAACACAAAAAAATTTACACTAATTACATACAGAGGTGATTAAAGACAAAAAATTTATGTACGGACAGCGATACTATTGTTTCCAGAAACCCAAAATGAAGGTACCCACTGCGGTTCAGTCTCCAGTCGATGGACCGTCTCCTTTAATTCAGCTAGCGACCGGTCAAGATCGATGTTAACCATTATCCGGTCAAACAAATGACCGTATGTCTAAAAATTAATTTATTTTAACAAACTGAAAAATCACCTTTTTTTTTCTTCTTCTTTTTTTTAAACTGAAAAGTATTACAACTGTAAAATTATGACGCAAAAAAATAAATAAATAAATAAATAAAAATCTTTCTTCCAAACTACAATGTCCCATACCAATCAAAAAAATTAGTGATTTCAGGACCAAATATTATCATAAGAAAACTGTAATTAAAGCTATTATTTCAGAATAAATAAAATACGCATTCACGCAACCATCTTCTGCAGTAATAAGTTACGAATATGGGAGATAATAGCAAAAAAGTACTTAAATTTGAATCTGACTGAAAAGTAGAACACGCAGCTGCAAAGTCGCTGAGCAAATTTATCATCGTTCTTCTTACCTGCTCCATTAATTTGCCTTCATGAAGTATTTGTTTCAGCTGGTCGTCACGAATACCATGATGCCCCAGCAGTTCTTTCTGACGCCGTAGCTGCTGGAGCGATGGAGGTGCTATGAATATCACAAATGGCATTAGTGAAGTTTTTCTCAACGCTCTGAGGTTCTGAAACAATTAAAACGTATTCAAATTAAAAACAGAAATTCACTTCTGCGAGCAAGCAGTTTAATGTCTTCTAATAATGAAGTAAAACCTTAAGTAAAACCAAACAACAAACAACTCCGACAAAAGTATGATTGTTTGTTTCTCATAGACCACGGCATAGCAAAGCCTTCACAACAAAATATCTCGCTATTAAAGAATATGACTTTACCTCAGCTTTTAAAGTAAGTAGACAAATTTTAGCTCTATCCACAACCGCCTGAATTGCTGCAATCGATGTGCCGTACAAATGTTTTTGAAATTCTCCATATTCAATAAATTTCCCAGCTTTTGCATCTTCTTGAAATTTCAACTTTGTTACAAAGTGAAAATGAATTCCATCAACTTCTCCGGGCATTTTTGGTCTTGTTGTACCTAAAATACCTTCAAAATCTCTTTGCTTCTGGAATCAACAGCAATTAAAGCAGTATCCTAAATTTCACACTAGATATGCCACCATCCCCTAAAAACACATAATTTAAAACGTCAATTAATCACTAACACGGAACAGCGCTGGCATATTTGTCTTTATCGCTTTCAACAAGTCTTTGGCGAAGTTCAAGACATCCAACACCTTCTGGACCACAAAGAACAATTGGCCGTTTTCGGCCAGTTTTTGAGAGGTACAGTGAAACGCTTTCGTAAGTCAAGAGTTCTGTAAATGCTGTGATTAGGAGGACAGAAGAAGTAAACTGAAAACATCAAGATAAAAAACTATAATTACCCGAACCGTCTTCAACAACTTCGTCTGCAGAATTGAAAAATGTGTTACTGGCAGTTGCTCTAGATTTGGATGATTTTTTCTTTGCACATCCGAATAAATCTTTACGCTTTGCACTTAATCCACTTTCTCTTTCCAGTTCACGATTGTATAAGATAACTCTGTAAAAGCTTTTTTACTATCTTAAAAATCCCTCCAGTAGCAAAACTTCCTCTTAAACTGTTCAGAACCAAAATTAATTTATTTATTAATTCTGCGAAAATGCTTTATAAAACCGACTGTCGTTGAAACGCTGTAGACGGTATTAGACCAGCCAGTGATGACGATGGATCATCACCATCTCGATACGCCTGCCACCAATTTTCATCCGACATATTAATAACATGTAAGATATCACCACGTTGAAATTTCAGTGCCAATTCTTTACACGGTACGTAATAATCATCCTACAGTCACTATGATATAATGTAGTAGAAATGTCAAGAAGAAAAAAGAATTCAAAAATATGCCTTGACGGAAAAGCTATAAACAGCGTTAAGTAAAAAACCTCAGGATCATAGTCGAATAAGGCTCGCATGTGTTGATAAACCACCGGAGTTTCTTTGGCATCATCTGTAGGACTTTGTTCACTAGGTACAACTATTAGTGACAGTTCACCAGAAATTGATCTCTACAATAACAGTTCAAGCTATTAAATGACTACCGGAAAGGAGATGTGAAAAAATAAACTAAAAAAGATATTTGTAAATAAAAACACTTAAATTTTTATTTCATAGTCTTGTATTGCTTGTGAATAAAATAAATAAAACCACATGAGACCAAAAATCATGATGTCTATAAGAAAAACTACGACGCAGCATCGGTACAGCTGATTAAAAAACAAACTAACCAAAATGTCACAGACTTCAGCTACACTTCTCCCTCGAAGATCATGACCGTTTGCCTCAATCAGCTCATCACCTTCTCGTAACAGATGAGACTTATCGGCTATACCACCTTTGATAATCCTTCCTATCACAACTTTCTCACCTTCATTTCTTACCGTCGCCCCCTTAAAGCACCAGCACTGTTTACAAAAAAAAAATTATTTTCTTCATATCGTATAAGTCGTCCCAACTATTCAAATCACCAATTTTCTGTCCAAATAAGCTCCCTGTTTGAGATCAGTTTGCAATCTATACTTCAATTCAAAAGTGTAATTCAATAATTCAAACTATCTTTTCTCAAAAAAAAATATTTTCTGTGAGTGATCTTTAATAGAAAACAATTTTTTCTCGTCTAAAAAAAAGTTTTTTTGCCAACTTACCAGATATGCGTCATCACATTTATGGAACTTAACAATCTTCAAGTTTCCTTGAATTTCAGCTTTTCCAAAATCAGTCAATGACGACGATGACGATGCTTTTTGATTCAAAGCCTAAAAATGAAAGTTACGATTTTTTTTATATTCTTTCGCCTTAAAAGTTTTGCTTTTCAATTGAAAAACTCTCCAAATTACAATAACATAAAAATTTTACAAACTCTTTCTTCTGGAAAGAAACTTCAAAGTGAGTAGCCAAATGAAAATTTTACATAAGCATTCTGTTGAAGAGCAGTAGCTTCAATCGCTTTCTGTACATCAGGTTGAGCAAAGTAATCTCGAATAAATTTAGATTCTTCGTCACGTTTTTCGTTGTTTTCAAGATGATTCGCAACTCTGTTTGCTGACTGTATCACTTGTTCAAGCTCTATAATTCAAAAAAAGCAATGTAAAATGTGACAGAAATAAACGTTTATAATCTTTCTGCAGATCAGTAAACAATACAGTCAAACTAACGTATCGCTTCACTTGGTAAATTCCCAAGATTTTCCTGATATGATATATCGCTAGTAACATAACATTTGTTTGAGTACCCCGCTAAATCTGAGTTATCATTCTGACAACCTCCATTCGCTAGTTCTAATTTCCTTCTGGTATTGTTTTCCAATGACTGCAGTTTTTTCGACCCACGAAGAGAGGCTCTAAAGATTAGTGACTTAAAGCCAAAAGCTGTAAATGTGTAAAGCTTGTTGATATATGAAACTACAAATTAAAAGAAACGAAACAAAAGACTGCAATCAAGCCAAAAATTACTATAAAAATAGTAAAATCAAATCTAGATGTTTACCCTCTGACCTTAGAAATGCTTGTTCCCGAGCACGTTGCTCATCCAATTCTTTTCTCTTTTTCAAGTCCTTCTCATACTTTTTTATCCGTTCCTTCTGTTCAGTCATCGGTGAATTTCCATTCTTGCCGTCATCGATATCAAAAGAGGAATTCTGAAACGTAATATTTACATCAATCTCTCGTATTTCCATGCTTTTTTCTGTATTCACCTCTACAATTGCCTCTTAATAAAATCGGTGATAACTGTTACCCTCATAAGGAACTTTTCAGTTTTTCCAACATTATTTATTTTTGTTATATTTTGGAAACCCAGTTTCACGTATGGTATAAAAATGTAAGGTCAGATTATGTTCCATACACTGAACTCAAACTATATCAGATTTCCGGCAAAAACAATTAAAAATGCAATTTTTTTCAAATTTATTTTCTTCGCCCCTAATTTTTTTTTT